CTCATCTGTCAGGGCTGACCCCAAGCCCCAAGTGCTGCACAGAACAAAGCACTTCGCATCACCAGGTCTGTGAGCGATTTTTTCATTTCAAAAGAATATTTAACAGTCTTAAAGAAATTTTAGATGGCCCATGCATTCCAATGGAGTCTATCCTGAAGATTAATCTGAATTGCACAGACAGCGTGACAACGGCCCAGTGCAGAAAGAGCTCCTTGTCCACCCACAGCAGAGTTCCACCTGTCATCGCCGAAATGATGCTTAGAAAGACTTTGCCCCTGAACAACGTGGAAAAGCACTGAGAATGCCAGGGGAAGACTCGGACACCACACCATACGCCGAAAGGCCGTGTTTAAAAATACCACTGAATCCATCCAGGCAGGGAGTGCACAGGCATTGCATGAGGGGCTCTACTCGGGGTCTTGCTAATTTGCATAATCTACTTCTAGAGCAGGGAGAAACCTTTTCTAAAAAAGAGGGGAACAGATTAAATTACTGTACCTTTCCATCACGAAGCCCACCACTGGCATCACTGAAGTTTGAAATCTGCCAGGTCTAGCCCTGTCCCGTCAGTTCCCTGACCCAGGCTCCTACACTCCCAGGAAACTGTGAGCGGGGCATCTGGTCACCCTCAGGTAAGGAGCAGGCGCCCCACAGAGGAGGCCTGAAGGTGAGGTGGACCTGCCCAGGTAGGGGCCAGAGGGAGGAGGCCCAAGGAGGGCCTGGCTCCCTAAGAGGACCACCCTCCCTAGGCCTGGCAGCTGGAGCTCCCACAGGCGCCTGCGGCCCAGCCCCTTGACGACAAGCGTGTAATTACGTTAATCCCAGGGCTTACCGTAACGAGGACCAGAACCACAAGGGAGAGGAACGTCATTTCCCAGCTTAGCTGTTTGCAGGCAAAAGGAAGGCGACCACGGGCGGGACCCTGAGCTGGCCAAGGTGTCCCCTCAGATGTCCCCTGATCCCTCCCAGGGCCCATGGGACCAGCGCCGAGAATCCCCGATTCAGCTTCCCTCTGAGAGTACAGGTGCCCCGCCAGGTCCCCGCTTTCGGGAGCCGGACACCAGCCCTGCCTTTGGCCCTCCTCAGAGATCCTGTGCTCCCCAGGGAAGGTGGAGAGCTATGTGGCCCCCAGGCGGGCGGCGGGCGTCACAGAGCCTGCGGGGCACCAAGCCCTCTGAACAGTGGGGTTCTGGCTCTATTCCAGGAACCCCCAGTCCAGCACACTGGAAGCAGGCACGCAGTCTGAAGTTACTGGTCCCCCCACCCCCCCCAGGGTCGCCCTCTGCCTTCTCAGAAGCTGTGAGACCAGGGCCAGGTTTCTCCCTGGCAAAATGATGTCTTCTATGCCTCCTCCCACACAAGTCTTCCCTTGGCCTTAGCAACACCCAGACTGTAAACTCCAGGGAGAAGGTGCCATGAGCGATCTCTCTGAAAACCCCCCTCACCCACTCAGCACAGAGCAGGCCCGGGGAGGCCGGAGCCATAATGGAAGTGTCCTGCTCCCAGGCCATCAGCCGACAGCC